GCCCCTCTTTTTTCCCCCCCCCCCCCCCCCCGCATGTTTTGTGTTTCACATGTTTCCTGGAACACAAATTTTTTGTTTCTATTTTTTTATCTTTGTTTCCAAACAATTAATATAAAATAAAAACAAAAACAGTACTCAAACATATTTTTATTTTCATTTTTGACAAAAATTGAAAACAAAAATATAAAACACAAGACAAAAACAGTTATCAAACAATCCCTCATTTGTATGATTTGTGTTTTCTACACAACCCACAATGAATATATCTGTTGTGGATATATATGTATTTGAGGCGTATTCCACAAATATTTGTAAGTATTTAACGAGAATCGTTGTTCAATATGTATCGAATACATCACTTAGACCAAAGTATCCATGTTTTTTAAATTATCATCATCTACAGAGTTAACATAAATATAAAGGCAATATAAATAAGATATTTTTCATATTTTTAGGCCTTGAAAATAACATTACTACACAACCTACTCTCCGTTGGTTCTCTCTTATCTTTTATTTCAATAAAATTGACCATTTAGGATACTTTTGGCGCCATTAGTATTTGTTTCATGCGAAGGGCCTACCTTGGCAACTCAATGACAAAGCCTAGGCCGGCCATTGTAGTGTAGCGAGACTCTTTAGTTTTATACTTTTGGCATATTACCATGACTAAATTATAACTATTTACATTGTATAATTTTCCTTACTCATAATGTTATATGAAATTAAAAAATAAACTTAAAAATTAGATTTGATAATTTTAATCATTAATTTTATTGTGAGTTTATGTATTTATTGAATCCATTATCTATTCAATAGTTGAGATTATCAGGTCTAATTTTTAAGTTAATGTAATATTACTCTTTCTCTATTACTATTATAAAATATTAGATTGATTAAATTTAAAACTCAAATTATATGATAATTAATTATTTAAAATTTTTATTAGAGTGTAAATACCACGACACCTATGACGCTGGTCGTTGTATTCTAGTCGTTGTAGTCACTTTCCCCGCCTCTGTCTAAAAACCTATTCATTCAAAAATGGAACCCCCACCTTTCAAGTTTTCAACGATGCGGACCTCCAATGAGACCTCTTTTTCCACTACACCACCATCACCGCCTCCACCAACGGTGCATAACTCCACTGAAATCTCTTGTTCCACCACACCACCACCACCACCGCCTCCACCAACGGTGCGTAACTCCACTGAAACCTCTTGTTCCACCACACCACCACCGCCTCCACCAACGGTGCGTAACTCCACTGAAACCTCTACTTTCACCACACCACCGCCTCCACCAACGGTGCGTAAATCCACTGAAACCTCTACTTTCACCACACCACCACCACCGCCTCCACCACCATCCCCATTTCCCTCTCAATCTCCGGCCACCTATCCATACACAGTTCTCACCGTACATTCCCCATCCACCACTCATCTCTTAAACCCCACCCCCATATCCACCGACAACTCCATTAAACTGGCACATCCCCCTTCACCGGACCACCAAATTCTTCCCTCACCGGACCACCACGTTCCGCTCCAATCCGTCACCTCCAATCGCCTTCTCCGTTTGCCTCCATGGAAAGGCGTCAAACCCATCCCACTCGGAATCTCCGTCTTCGTCGGACTAATTCTCCGATTCGCAATCCCAAAACCACACCAAGTCTCGAATCAAGCCTGGCAACTCCTCGCAATCTTCCTCACCACAATCACCGGCCTTATATTCAGCCCATTACCAGCCGGCGCGTGGACCATCGTTTGTCTCACTCTCACCGTCATCACTAAAACCTTAAAATTCGCAGCCGCGTTCTCGGCGTTCACCAATGAGATCATTTGGCTGATCATCGCTTCGTTCTTTTTCTCCAGAGGGGTTGTGAAGACGGGGCTTGGCGATAGGATTGTACTGTCCTTTGTGCGATGGCTTGGAAAAAGTACACTGGGGTTGTCGTATGGGTTGGTGTTGGGTGAGGCGTTGATTTCTCCGGCGGTGCCTAGCTCGACGGCGAGGGCAGGTGGGATTTTTTTGCCGATCATTAAGTCATTGTCGCAGTCGGCTGAAAGCTGGCCGAAGGATAAATCGGCCAGGAAGCTTGGGGCTTATCTAATCCAGTCTCAGTTGCAGGTCAGCATTATTCTATTCTATCACTTTTTGTTTAGGGCAAATGACACTTTGCTCCCCATAAGATTTTAGAATTATCAATTTATGCATTTAGAGATTAATTTTTTCACATTCCAACCGTTAAATTATATCATTTGCGTTAATTTAATTCTTAAATTAATTATTTTGTCAATTTAACTCGTTAATTCTGTTCAAATTCACTGTTAATTTTAGTAGACCCATTTATATGGTCTTAAGTTCTTAACTATCCTATTTCCATTGTTGACTTACGTGATGTGTACGTACACATAATGCCTAAGAGAGAGAGATCGGAAACGAAGACGAATTGGAGGGAACTACCGGTAAGAGAGAGGCGAAGGAGAGTCGGAAGCTTTTTCACTGACCCCACGAAGAAGGAAACGAATCTTTGATAAGATGGAATGAAAAGACAAAACCAAGAAGCCTAAACTTGTTTTTAATCGGATCCGTCTTGGAACCGGTAAAAAGATCGGATCAAGGACTCACTGATTTGACTATCGAGTTAACTGGATTGTATAATAAAAAATTATAAAATCCGAAGAGAAACCATCCTCCTCCTCCTCCTCCTCTGACAGAGACTCTCCTTTGTTTCTTCTTCTCACTCGATTGATCCCTAGCGCCTCCTCCTCTTTGAGTCTCAGAGACTCTCGCCTCTCTCGCCGCCTTCTCTTCAAATCCACAAGCCACACGCGAAAAGAAGTGGTGGGTAGTCGCTTGAGTGATATTCGATTTAGGGTAAATGTCTATTTATTTTGAGTCCCTAAAATTCAAACCCTCTTACAGGTTTGGTCCAAAATCGATATAGCGGCATTTCAGTGGTCTAATTACAGAGTCAGGCCATTTTGGGTCTCAATTTACGGTTCTACGGGCCAAATCAGCCAATCTGATCTGGTTTTAATAATACTGATNAAGACGAATTGGAGGGAACTACCGGTAAGAGAGAGGCGAAGGAGAGTCGGAAGCTTCTTCGCTGACCCCACGAAGAAGGATACGAATCTTTGATAAGATGGAATGAAAAGACAAAACCAGGAAGCCTAAACTTGTTTTTAATCGGATCCGTCGTGGAACCGGTAAAAAGATCGGATCAAGGACTCACTGATTTTACTATCGAGTTAACTGGATTGTATAATAAAAAATTATAAAATCCAAAGAGAAACCATCCTCCTCCTCCTCCTCCTCCTCTTCTGACAGAGACTCTTCTTTCTTTCTTCTTCTCACTCGATTGATCCCTAGCGCCTCCTCCTCTTTGAGTCTCAGATACTCTCGCCTCACTCGCTGCCTTCTCTTCAAATCCACAAGCCACACGCGAAAAGAAGTGGTGGGTGGGTGGTGGGTAGTCGCCTGAGTGATATTCGATTTAGGGCAAATGTCTGTTTATTTTGAGTCCCTAAAATTCAAACCCTCTTACAGGTTTGGTCCAAAATCGATTTAGCGGCTTTTCAGTGGTCTAATTACAGAGTCGGGCCATTTTGGGTCTCAATTTACGGTTCTACGGGCCAAATCGGCCGATCCAATCTGATTTTAATAATGCTGGTATGCTAAAGTCGTTTATGAAAGAGACACCTGCTCCTACATTCATGCTATTATGATGCGGGTTTGACTAGAAAAATGTTTTTGGTACCCTCTCACTTATTGGATATTTATACCATTTTTTTGTGTAATTTACCAATTTTTTTTATTTTGCTAATTATTTTGAGTTTCCTTATCATCTTTTAGTTTGATTAGTTTATTATTTTTGGGTNTATGATGCGGGTTTGACTAGAAAAATGTTTTTGGTACCCTCTCACTTATTGGATATTTATACCATTTTTTTGTGTAATTTACCAATTTTTTTTTATTTTGCTTATTATTTTGAGTTTACTTATCATCTTTTAGTTTGATTAGTTTATTATTTTTGGATAGAATTTATTATTTTTTGGAATTTTGAGTATGATTCGTAAAAGTCGGTAATATCAACGTGTATTCTCCGAGGGGGTGTTTGGTTTGAGGGATAAAGTGGGATAAAAGAAGTTGGATTGGATAAAATAATATGGGGGCCCACATATCTCTTGTTCAGATATGCAAATTTGGGTGGGATATTTGTTGAGTTTGAAATAATCGGTCGTAGTAAATGGAGCCCAAATCCCTTCTGATTAGGATATCTGTAACCCATTCTGGTGGTGTTTGGATCATCGTGGAAGGATTGGATTTGAATCCCAATCCAATCCAACCTAATGCAAAGTGATTCGGATTTGATGATTATAAAGATGGGATTCAAATCATATCCCAACTTTGGATAGGTTTAATTTATTTTGTGGGCTCTATTAATTTGTGAAGATAAAACAAACTAAAATGGTCATTTCACCCTTATGTAAAATAATGTGATCCAAACTTNATGCAAATTTGGGTGGGATATTTGTTGAGTTTGAAATAATCGGTCGTAGTAAATGGGGCCCAAATCCCTTCTGATTGGGATATCTGTAACCCATTCTGGTGGTGTTTGGATCATCGTGGAAGGATTGGATTTGAATCTCAATCCAATCCAACCTAATGCAAAGTGATTCGGATTTGAGGATTATAAAGATGAGATTCAAATCATATCCCAACTTTGGATAGGTTTAATTTATTTTGTGTGCTCCATTAATTTGTGAAGATAAAACAAACTAAAATGGCCATTTCACCCTTATGTAAAATAATGTGATCCAAACCTATACCATATTTGGAATGGAATTAAAAAAAAAAGGTCTAATCCATTAGTATTGATATTTTTACGACAAAAAATATGAATGAATAAATTACACATTTTTACAAAATATTGCAATAAATATTTTGTTCATTTATTTAATTTAATTTGTCCAATACACTTTTAATTACAAAAAAAAAAATGCATCATGGAAAAAAAAATTCCAACACAAAAATAATAGACTTATCGATACAACTCAAGTCTAAGTCGTTATTTGTTTATTTATAGAAAATTCGAAGTGGTGTGTTTAAAAATAAAAATTTATTGTTTATTTTCAATAAATAGCAAAATTAATCCGAACCATATTAAATATTTTCAATGACCAAAATGCAATTTATTATTCAAATTGGTAGGGCATTTAATAATATTGCATGAATCACTAGTGCACATCATGTCAATTTAAAATATGTTGCTTTAATACAAATGTAAATTTCTTGTACACATAAACAAATGGATGAGCAACAACTTTTTAAGATCTTAAAATTTTAAAATGTAATGAAACGCAACACCACAAANACATCATGTCAATTTAAAATATGTTGCTTTAATACAAATGTAAATTTCTTGTACACGGAAACAAATGGATGAACAACAACTTTTTAAGATCTTAAAATTTTAAAATATAATGAAACGCAACACCACAGANTGAGCAACAACTTTTTAAGATCTTAAAATTTTAAAATGTAATGAAACGCAACACCACAAAACAATTATTATTTTTTAATGAAGCCCAAACCATTTTATTCAAAGTTGAGGTACACTGAATATTTTCACATACTTACTTTGAAATCACGAGCTTTCATTCTAAAAGAGAGTTATGTGCTAATTTTTTAATAATGAGGGGGAAAATNTTCAAAGTTGAGGTACACTGAATATTTTCACATACTTACTTTGAAATCACGAGCTTCCATTCTAAAAGAGAATTATGTGCTAATTTTTTAATAATGAGGGGGAAAAGTACAAATAAACCAAACAACTACCGTAATAAGTGGATTTTAAGTTTGTTAAAATCCTCATCTTTCCAAATAGTTCGCCTTCTNCATCTCACGCAAGATTTTCAAAGCATTTTTGCTCCAAGGATAAAAGCCAGCAGCAACTTTTATGCAAATCAATGGATCTTGTATACAAAAAAAAGGGGATTAGCCGGTTATTTCTTCTCATCAAATATACCAGGTCACTCAAGATTTCTCCTAATACAAGATTATCACCAACTAAGCTTCTTAAGGATGAAGACTTCTACTTTAGTTATGACTTTAGATAATGTAACATGCTTGAACTTTTTTTTTTATTTTTATATTGGTCTTTTATATCGCAACTTTGGGAGAATGTATTTAGATATTGTGCATTAATTATATGGTTGGTCAATAGTCTATAAAATAATTTTGGATGTTGTTTAATTATGGGTTTTATGATGTAAAAACACCAATGTTTTTTTAATTACGCTGTATAAATTTGATGATGACAATAATGTACATTAATATATATTTTGTATAGTAGTTTTGTTGCGAAGATTAGTTAATATTGGCCAATATTTTGGATTGGATTTGTCTATGGGTAAAATGGTAAAAAACCACTAAAGCAATGGCATAATCAATGGGTCCCACAAAATTTCAATGTTACTAACCAAACGATAGGTTAGATTGGATCTAACACATAACCCATCTAATNAGAGAGAGAGAGAGAGAACAAATGGATGCATAGAAGCTACTTCCATGGCCAAATCGAGCACTTCAATGGATAGATATGGTCCATCAACAGTTCAAGCATCAACAAATCTAGCATCACCATCGTCCATCAGCAGATCGAGCACTTCCAAGGCCAGATCTGCTACTTCCATGGACAGATCTGGTCAACAGTGCTACTTCTATGGAGAAGGGGGACCAGTGTGAAAGTGAAAGGGAAGGGGAATGGAGGTAAAAATGCGTAGAGTATATTTTACTATGGAGGGTATTTTAGATTTTAGCCATTTAATCCTATTTCTCAATTCAACAATCCCTCACAGCAGAAGGGAAAGTTGAATCACCTGCAGATGGGATTCTTGACTTCAAAACCTACGGCCGAGTTTTTCAATTCCACGAGGAGCCCTTTTCAATTATTTCAACCAAACCAAGGATAAGTGGGTCATTTCACTATTTTAATCTAATCCCACATTAAACCCCCTTCGATCCCGTCAAACAAACACCACCTCATGCGTGGGTTAAAACACCAGTCAACTGGATATGCTGCCCAATTACTAGTATGCCCTTGTTTACAGTTAAACCTGGNAGGGGGACCAGTGTGAAAGTGAAAGGGAAGGGGAATGGAGGTAAAAATGCGTAGAGGGTATTTTACTATGGAGGGTATTTTAGATTTTAGCCATTTAATCCTATTTCTCAATTCAACAATCCCTCACAACAGAAGGGATTGTTGAATTACCTACAGATGGGATTCTTGACTTCAAAACCTACGGCCGAGTTTTTCAATTCCACGAGTAGCCCTTTTCAATTATTTTAACCAAACCAAGGATAAGTGGGTCATTTCACTATTTTAATCTAATCCCACATTTAACCCCCTTCGATCCCGTCAAACAAACACCACCTCATGCGTGTGGGTTAAAACACCAGCCAACTGGATATGCTGCCCAATTATTAGTATGCCCTTGTTTACAGTTAAACCTAGNTGGCCAATATTTTGGATTGGATTTGTCTATGGGTAAAATGGTAAAAAACCACTAAAGCAATGGCATAATCAATGGGTCCCACAAAATTTCAATGTTACTAACCAAACGATAGGTTAGATTGGATCTAACACATAACCCATCTAATGTAAGTGGCTAAATGGGTTTGGATTGGATGAGATAGGATATAAAAATGAAATCCTATCCAATCCTGATTGACCATCCAAACACCCCCCAAGTCTGTTTTTTTTTTTTTGGTATAATCACCCCCCAAGTCTTTTATGAAAGAGAACTGCATGCTCTTTAAACTAGAAAACTACTCTTTTAAGTCTTTTAAACTATTTTTAACAATTAATGTTGACCCATTCACACTAATAAATTTTTGTATGAAGTTATGTACATACATTAAGATAACATCGCAATTCAAACTCCATGGGATGTGCAAAGTCAGAGTAAGAAGGAACACACTTCCTTGATAATCATAGTTGTTCAATTTTAATGAACAACTAAGGAGCCTTAGGGGGTGTGTGTGTGTGGGTTATATGGAGGCCGCTTCACTTCTGCTTTTAAGTAGAAGTGATTTGATTAAAAAAAAAAAAGTTTTAATGAAGAAAGTAGAGCCACATAAACAGTCTTGAGTCTTATTCCTGCTCATTGATCAACCAGACAATTATCCTATGTTTTTATTACGTACAGGCTATAATATATACTCACTGGTCCAATTATATCACAAGTCTAATTGATTTTTCAGATAATGTGTTTTGTTTAAGGTAATTTACCCTGACATCTTGGTAATAATATCATTGTGATTGATACATTTCACTTGTTGATGCATGTCAGTCTGCTAGTAGCGCAGGTAATCTTTTCTTGACTGCTGCCGCTCAAAACCTACTGTGTGTCAAATTAGCTGAGGGAGTTGGGGTTAAAATTCCAAATCGATGGACTACCTGGCTCAAGTTTGCTAGTTTGCCTACATGTATATCTCTTCTAGCAACCCCAATTATCTTATACAAGATCTTTCCTCCTAAAACCAAGAACACACCTGATGCTCCTGCCATGGCCAAGAGGAAACTAGAGCAGATGGGTCCTGTCAAAAGGGATGAATGGGTGATGATTGGTACCATGCTTGTTACAGTGGCATTATGGATTTCAGGGTACGCATGTTTTTTTTTTTAACTATATGTAATTTGCTTATCTTTTTGACGATCAAATCTATTTACCTTCTCATTAATCGAAGTTAACTACTCAAACCTTGCTTTGCCATCCTCTGCATAACATACAATTGTTAGACTTAACTAAGTTGCTAAGTGAACAATATTTGTATAGCCATTCTAAGTTAAATCTAGTAGCTCAATCTGTCGATAAGGGAGCAAGTGATGCAAAGTAAAGTTGACTTGTTTCTCCATTGTATTTTAAGCTGTTAAATCCAGAGATAAGGTAATTTTGGCATTGTGAGCTGATGTTTATTATCCTCTCTAGTTCTACCACACTAAGGATTTCTTGGATATTTCCACCTTACTTCTCATTATAAGATCGCTGATGTGGTTGACCTGTTTGGCCATCGATCAACTTATATGATTTTTTTATTAACCAACTTCATGTTTCATCTTTGGTTTGAAAAGGCCTGCCTCTAAGAGCACTAGTGAATTGCCTTCTGGGAAGAAGGTCTCACTCAAAAGCAAAAATTGCCCTACGTAATTTTTTCTTTCAATTCAGTCTTGATTAAATAGGGAATACAGAGAGTCGAAAGGATTGTGATGTCTTTTTTATGTTTGTCTTATCTTAGATAGTATCTTAAAACAGCCAATTCTAAAAGTTTTATTCAGATGCTGGTAATATCTTGCTTTCCAATCTGAGCATATAAGGAATGAACTTGGTTTCACTGCTGCTAACCTCTGGTTCGGTGGCCAATCAACTCATCCAATAGCTTCATGGGTTGTAGTTTTTTTGTGGTTGCTTACATATCTTTTAGTTTCCTTTCCCTTTCTTTTTCTTTTGACAAATCTTCTTTAGTATTATTCCCTTCTATTAATAAATCCTATGTATCTGTTAAAGAGGAGTTAGAATTATTGGTCTTTGATATTCCTAATCTTATTTGTGACGTATAGGTGACAAAGTCGATGTCTTGAAAATTTGTTCTCCTATTATAAATGCTGGTTATGTCTCCGTTGTTTAAATATTATTTTCTTGTCCTAGAATTCTGAAAGAAGTTGATCTGTGTGCAGAGATGCTCTGCATATGACAAGTGTTGTTGCAGCACTGCTGGGCTTATCAGTACTACTGCTATTAGGAGTACTTGATTGGGATGATTGCTTAAGTGAAAAGTCTGCATGGGATACCTTGGTTTGGTTTGGGGTACTTGTGGGCATGGCAAGCCAATTGAACACCCTTGGTATTGTACCCTGGATGTCTGATTGTGTGGCCAAATTGCTTAAATCTTTATCACTGGGCTGGCATGCCTCATTTGGTATCCTTCAGGCAGCATATTTCTTTATCCACTATCTATTTGCAAGTCAAACTGCCCATGTTGGAGCTCTATACTCGACATTTCTTTCAATGCACTTGGCATCTAAAGTGCCCGGTTTGTTGGCAGCGCTGGCTTTGGGATACAATACCAATCTTTTTGGTGCACTAACACATTATAGCAGTGGTCAGGCTGCTGTATACTATGGAGGTACACTCTTTTCCTTCTTCATGGAAAATCTTTTTCTCTTATGTTTGTCTCGTTTACTTTGTTGTTATTCATGTGAATTTCATATTTTTTGATATTTATGGAGTATCTGCGGTGACATATTTGATTTTAAAATAACCTATGCAATTAAATCTGAAACAAATACTCATTCATAGTTATCAGAAACTATGGTCTCCTAAAAATTTGGGACGTTTTATACATATGAAATCAAAGTGTGAAGATAGCTTTTATTCCACATTGACAGTCTAGACCACCCAAGATTGATTTATATGATTGATGGGTCTCTTTGCCCAATTTAAACTACTGTAAGGTTGGCCGTCTCTAACTTCGTAAAAGAGATGGATCTTGGCTGCAGCGAATGAGTCAATGCTTATATCCATTTGTATTTTCTGATTTGATTGTCTAACTCTTTCTGTCGGACTTTGGTAGCCCATGTGTAAGTCTGGGTCGCATANGAGTCAATGCTTATATCCATTTGTATTTTCTGATTTGATTGTCTAACTCTTTCTGTTGTCGGACTTTGGTAGCCCATGTGTAAGTCTGGGTCGCACATGAGTGATGGCATAAAGAGATCTTGTATCAAGGGCCAATCAAGCTTGATTCATATGGTTGAGGCATCCCTACACCCATTTCCTTTTGCTTTCAAGTAGGATGCATGAGAATAACTAACCATTACCAAACAATGTTAAATCTTTACTAGATAGAAAAAAAACAAAGGCACCTTTCTATTAAACTTTTTCTTATGCCTTATTTAACTTATATCACTTACTATAGGATGACAAAAGAAGTTAATACAATTTCTTAAAATTTTTTGTTGTTATAAACACTTCTCAGATTGTCTTCCACTTCTTTAGTTACTCCCACGGCTCTCTCTCTCTCTCTCTCCCCTCCCCACAAACCCACCCTTCTGGGGTAGTGGTCATTTGCATCTTGCATTTTCTGTGTCTAATCTTTAAATATGGCAACCAGCCTACCTGTTATGTAGGACTATAGATATCTTCTATGATGTCTGTTGTAGTTGACAAAATTTATTATAAATAAATACACTTGTTTACCAGATTTATCTTTTGTGAACATTGTTTTTGGGTTGATTGTAAATTTCATTGAACCTCTAAACTTGGTTTCCATTTATATCAATGTTCCATCACAATGTATGCTGTCTTTAAACTGTCTCTGTTTCTAGATTTCTCTATTTTCTTGGTTAGTTTTGCTTGCTTTTTCTATCACCAATTTTGTCATTATTCACTAATGTTCTCATTTCTTTATCGAAATTCAATTTTCTGGCACTGATTGAAAGTTTTTCTTTTGACAGCTGGTTATGTAGAACTTGCTGATGTTTTTAAACTGGGAATTGTAATGGCTCTTATTAACATTGTGATATGGGTATTAGCTGGAGCTCTTTGGTGGAAGATTTTGGGCCTTTATTGAGGTCAATTTTGAAAGTTAATGTTATACATTCCAATGTTATATGACATTCTTCTGTTATAAACAAAGAAAATAGTTTGTATTTTGGTTGGATATCTTATACACCAATTCATTTACATCCTCTTTCTTTGAATGTGTGGTTTGAGCTTTATTTTTTTCCAATACTGCACCAAAATCATAATCCAAACTAGAATCGGAACGCTAAATTTGCATTTTTTTTAAAAAAAATTCTTTTCCCTCGATAACATTATGATTTTTCACTCTAGTTTTGTGTCCCAGAATCATATTTTGTTGTTCAACTCATACCTTCAGTATTAGTTATTTTCATGATAACTTTTGTGATCTCATACTGTGAAAAGTCCTCATCATCAGAGGTGATGATGGGAGATTGAGATAGACAAAGAAAGAAAGAAATACGAGGTTATCCATAATTTGGTATCAGTTTGTTGAACAGNTCAGAGGTGATGATGGGAGATTGAGATAGACAAAGAAAGAAAGAAATACGAGGTTATCCATAATTTGGTATCAGTTTGTTGAACAGAGATCTCTTAAAAGGCATTGTTCCTGCATAGGAAGATAAAAACTGGCCTCAACAAAAACTTAACAGCTTGGGTATACATGAACATATATACTTTCTGGCTTAACTGCAGGTCATGTTAGGAACACATTCAGAGTATTAACTGATTTGCCATATTAATTCTGTAGGGCAAGAATTGTTTTCTTTTCTATTAATATTCAAACATCTGAATAATAAGCATTTGAAGGTGTTTCGCATGTTGGGATACATTTTAAACAATTATTAAGCAAAAAGATGCCATTTGGTGCACTACTCTGCTATACCTTATGACCTACAAATGCTTTATCGAGATGCAGTATGCTTCACACATGCTTAGAAGACACAACTTACAGCATTTTTCTTCAGGTTGTCAATGTCTTGTTTCAAAACCTCCTCACACTTCTAACTAAGCTTTGATGAATTTTGTAGAGCATGACACATAGTGCCTATTTTCTATGCCTTCAAGTTTGAAACAGGTCTCATAACTAGGAGGAACTTAATATAAGATCTATCAAGATGTACAAAAAGATGCAATGTGGAATAAAACACAAATCTTTTCTTCCTTTTTTATTTTTAACACAGGTGGTTATGGTGTATGGGCCATCCTACTATTTATTTGAACAATATCACTTTGCTTGATATTTGANACACAGGTGGTCGTGGTGTATGGGCCATCCTACTATTTATTTGAACAATATCACTTTGCTTGATATTTGAAACACAACTGACAGTATGGTGAAAATTTCTTTTTTCAATGCATGAAATATCTGAAAAGGGAAGCCAATAAGTTGAAGGCTTTTCTCCCTTCCTTTAATGCTCGTTTAGTAGACAGCAAGTGGAGTGTATAAACCCCTTCAGAGATAAAGTTGACTACACGAGCTTGTTAATGAAGTTTGAAATGAGTCTCGTCTATGAAGCAGAGNGCTTTAATGCTCGTTTAGTAGACAGCAAGTGGAGTGTATAAACCCCTTCAGAGATAAGGTTGACTACACGAGCTTGTTAATGAAGTTTGAAATGAGTCTCGTCTATGAAGCAGAGCAACATCATCTTGCTTGCCTCTGGCGAAGCTTCTAGTCTAGATGATAGTCATTTTGATATGGCAGGATTACTACATTTTAGGTTGACCACTATATAAGAGCGACAGAAAAGCCAAGTCATATAACGGTGAGCAACCCTTATCACAATAGAAAACGGCCTAGTTATAGTCCTATTTTTCCCTTTATTCGTGGACTCTAACGGGACTTGCAAGCTCATAAAATGGCAATCATTCACATTTTATGGTTAAGATAGTTGGAGAAATTTCTCAATGGAGAACGCAATTTTCAAAATGATAAAATAAATATATGCAATACTNAAAGCCAAGTCATATAACGGTGAGCAACCCTCATCACAATAGAAAACGGCCTAGTTATAGTCCTATTTTTCCCTTTATTCGTGGACTCTAACGGGATTTACAAGCTCATAAAATGGCAATCATTCACATTTTATGGTTAAGATAGTTGGAGAAATTTCTCAATGGAGAACGCAATTTTCAAAATGATAAAATAAATATATGCAATACTGGAGAAAAGATCTTAGATTTTTTTTCTCCCTAAAGGTGAGTTCTAGTGCAAAATGAGGTGCTAAAAACATAATGGATTACAATGTTTAATGTACTTCGAGTTGATTAAGGGTGTGAATTTTTATGCCTTCTCTAAACTATCATTAACAAGAAAGCAAAAACACTTGGAATCTGATGGTGTAAATTGGTGTGGATGAGTAGAGGGAATGGATTATGCTTGGCAACTTAGATCTGAGCTATAAAACTCGTGGGGATTATGTTTAGGATTACTGGGGATTGGGGTGATTTGCACAATAAAAGTATAGTAGTTCACCAGTTCGGAAGCTTGGGTAGTCCACTTTTTAATGGAGACTCTTGTTCTTTTAATATTTATTCATGGTGGATTTGATTTACAGAGTTTCTTTTATGATCTCTGATTTTTCTCTCTTGCCTCTCTAGGAGGCAATGTACAGTATTTATAGCACAATTTGTATCACTAAAAGATCTTCAGTGAGATCCTTGCTCTTCAACCTTTGAATTTTCCTTGATTTTAGAAAGAGATCTTGGGTGGTTAAGAGTTTCATACCTTGATCACTGCCCATTTGCTGTTCTATGGACGCCTCTTGTTGACCAGCTGTTCTTTCTTTGACTCCTCTGATTTTTTATCGGAAAGGAGCTCGGGACCTAGGCTTTAGAGCTCTGGGCTCATTACCCGACCTCGCTTCCCGAGCTCATACTTAGTAAAAATTCTTTATTCATGTATCATTAGTTGCCCCCCAACTCTTGGTTTGAGCAAGCTTAAACAAGGGTTGAACTTAAACCAAAGCAGAGTGGAGCTCCGTTTAGCGACCTTGATGTTCGTGTGGACAAATTTTTTGACAATTACCAGTAATCATTTATCTCCTCGTTTCTCACGCGCGTTGCCCAATTCGAGACCCCTTGCACCGTTAGCTTTAAATGCTCTTAGATTAACGGTTCCCTCCTCACTCTTTCGAATTCTCTCTAGCTCTCATTCTTTACTCTCTTGTGATTTTGTCTTTTCCAGCTTGCCATCTTACTTAGGGTTTCTCAAAGAGACGATTTCTCTTAATTTGACCTGAAGGCTTAGCGTGGCTTGGTTTCAAACTTTGTTCTCGAGCTTGAATCCATCGTCGATTCTCGTTTAGGTACGTCTTTTATCCATTTCCCAGTTCCTCATTCTGGATCCCTCTAATTTGAGGTGGTTATTGCACTTTTGGAATTTTTGGTTCTGTTATTTTAGGAATCAAAATCTCTCCCTATCTCGAATCCCTCTCTTTCTGGATCGATACTCCACGGCTAGGATTTTCGTTATTGGTTGTTGGTGTCTTGCCCTTCTAACTCTCAAAGAGTTTTTCTCCGAAGTTCCCCCACTTTACAAGTCTTTTAAGCTTCCTTACTCTTGCCCAGTTATGTCTACCTCCTCTGAAGCCACGGGTTCGTCCATCTCTCTAATGAGGGATAGGTCCGTTGAGGAGGACTCTGATCTGAGAGATGTTGGGCAAGAAATTGATAGTTTCCCTAGAGTGGATCCTTTCGACGTTGGGGGAGGTTCTGAGGAGTCTCCTCTGCCCTCCTCCCCTGCTCTGAAAACTCTTAGCAAGGGCAAAACCAAGGTGGGCGGCATAGGGATTTTCAACAGTGCTGAGGGTGGAGGTGCTACTCCCAAGGCTTCCGAGCTCGTGGGTTCTAGTGACATCGTTCCTTCTTACTTGAAGGTTCTAGCTGCTCGTTTTGATTTTCCTCGAGGCGTACAATTCTGAAGCCCTGATATGTTTACCTTGTATGACTCTTTCATCCCTAGAAAGGTATACTTCTTCCTAGCCAATTTGGAGAATGGCTATGCATCCCTTTATCAAGAGTGTTTTGCAACATTTTAATGTCTGTCTTGTCCAGCTTTCTCCTAACTTCTTTGGTGTACTGGTTAGTCTCCTTTTTTTCTTCAAAAAACACAATCTTGGGGCCCCTACTGTATCTTTGCTCATGAGATTTTTCAATGTCAAGTACACTTCTTCTGATGGCTTTTTGTATATTTCCAAATGTGTGAAAACCAAGGTTCTTATCTCTGACCTTCCGAGCTCCCACAAAGGTTGGAAAAAACTTTTCTTTTTCGTGTAGGGGAGAGACTGGGAGTTCAATCCCGCCTACGTGACTGATACTCTTCCAATTCCTTGGGGCTGGTCTGCCCCTGACAACTTGGGTAAGTCTTTTCTTAAGCGAGTTAGGATAGGCCTGAGTGTCTCTTTTTGCTGATCTTGTTCCGCTGGTTTCGTTGTTCAGGCATCAGACCAGAACTCAGTGTTGCAGATGAGTAGGTTTTAGGGAATTTGGCAAACTGCGACTCAGAAAGATATTCAGAGCACATCAAGCCTCAGGTTATTGTAGAGCTTGGGTTCAGTCCTCCCGAAGTGAGGTTTGAGAACCCATCCCCTCTTTTTGTTATCAGCGTCGAGGAGATAGTAGGTAATGCTCTTTCCATCTTGTCCTTTGCTCTTTTACCTTTGCCTCCTCTTTCTATTTTTTTTTTCATGTTGGTTCTTCCTTGAGTTCTCAAGTTCTTCTTCAATTGAGCCCACTACAAAGGATCGCATGGCCAAACTATCCTTGATGAAGAAAAATTAGAGTGGGAATAAATGTAAGGTTGAGGTCGATTCTGGGAGCGACTCAGCTTCCCAAGCCAAAGTGCCAAGGCTGGAGGCGTCTCCCGCTTCTCNTCATGTTCGTTCTTCCTTGAGTTCTCAAGTTCTTCTTCAATTGAGCCCACTACAAAGGATCGCATGGCCAAACTATTCTTGATGAAGAAAAATTAGAGTGGGAATAAATGTAAGGTTGAGGTCGATTCTAGGAGCGACTCAGCTTCCCAAGCCAAAGTGCCAAGGCTGGAGGCGT